TTTCAAATAGAGAATTAACGTGTGTGTGTGTTGCAGGTGGATCTCAGTGCTGACTAACAGTAAGCAGGAGGCACTGAACGTGGCACTAGATGAGGGCAGGCCGAGCGGGGAGAGCAGTGTGGGGGACCTGACCAAGGCCATCACCGACGACATCCGCCGTATGCCCGGCAACCAGGTGTGCTGCGACTGCGGAGCGCCAGGTGAGTCACCGCTCGCTGTTATTGGTCAGTCACTCAGTGCAGCCTACTCCCACATGTAGAACTGACTCAAATCAGTGACATTTGTGGGTGTTCGAGGTATGACCTGCTCATCTAAGGTCCTACTACAACATCTCAATGAGGTTTAGGTCTGGACACTGACTAGGACATTGAACGACTTCAAATTAGTTTCCTTTACATTACTTGCTTATGAGGTTTGGATCATTGTTTTGTTGTCTGTATAGTTCCACTTTGCTACTGCATGATTCCCATTTTGTCCAGTAAACATTGATCTTAACCCATGCAAGAGAGGCCCGCAGATACCTGTATGATGTAAATTACCTGTAAAATACCTGTAAATAGTTTTCAAGCACCCACTTGATTGATAGGTATCAACAATTTATTTCTGAAAATTTTCAGATAAGTTATTACTTTTGGTCAAAATGACTTTTCCACAACTGAAGATTCAATTTTTGGTTACCTAGCGCTGTGTTAAAATGAAAGAAGCACCAAACTGTTGTATATATTCATTCTCCTTCAGACTCCCTCTGTGTACTACCACAACCCACGCAGAGATATGACCAATAAAATGTGCAGAAGTTGCAGAAAATCCGGCTTGGGCACACACTTTTCAACAACATTGTATATTTTTACACATACGGCCTATATTTACCTCCTGTGTTTACGGGGCCGGCAGCTAGCTGTCTGTTTCACGGCCCACACTGCTGACCTCATTCTTTGCTTTCATATACAGCCTGGTTTTTGTGTCCCATCTCTCACTCGGAGTCCCCAGTGGCCTTGGGTCTGGAAGTAGGATAGTTTGGGAAACAGACCGCAAAGCAAGTCAGGTGCAAACTGGCTTGTTCATTCTGCTCTTTAATATGGCTCAGAATGTGAATGCTGGGGATTCTGGGTAATATAGACCACTCTGTGGAGGACTATGAGCAGTTTGTATTGTTAGTTTTTTACTGGGTCATTATATGGAAAAGGAGGTTTCTATCAGCCTGGGGTTATTTTAAATGGCACAAAAAATTCAAGCTGAATTTGAGTTTTCTTCTACATATTTTATATGTCTGCATAGTCTTTGCAGTTCTCTCCCGGATGAAGGAGATTAATGGTGGTATTGCAGCTGGCTGACATTTGCATTAGCCCTCATAATGAGATTCCAATAACATGAATTACTTACAGGTGCTGCTGATGGCTAAATAGGTATGCGCTGGGCTGAACACTCAGTTGGACACGTCCGTGCCAAGGACAAATACTTTGTCTTTGGTTGCCATGTTTAAAAAAAGAAATCACTGTTGGCAGTGTTGGTTCTCACACTAGTAGGTTCAGAATCAAGTGATTACAGGGTCAGGCCCAGGATCCGTTTCAGTGGCAGGCCCTGAAACAGTGTTAGCAGGTCTGAGATCAGTGTTAGCAGGGCCAAGGTCATCATTAACAGAATTGAGATTAGTGTTAGCCCAGCCAGGATCAGTGTTAGCAGGGATAGGTGTAGTGTCAGTAGGTTCTGCATCAGTATTCAGTATGAGGGCCTGTGTTTTCCCTTATGGGTTGTTTTATGGTGTTCCCAGATCCTACCTGGATCTCCACTAACCTGGGCATCCTGACGTGCATCGAGTGCTCGGGGATCCACCGGGAGATGGGGGTCCACCACTCCCGCATCCAGTCCCTCTCTCTTGACAAGCTGGGAACCTCTGAACTCCTGGTGAGTCTGCTCAAACCCACAGGGGTGCCACTGGAGAGCCGCAGGGTCCTGCCAAACACACCCACACCCTGCCGCCTCTGCGCTGTGAGAAGGGTATTATGCCAGGTCACCCCAGGCCTGCTTCATGGGTTTGTCTGTCTCATGACATGGAAGAAGATTAGAACCTGACACATGGCATTGAAAACTCTGTAATGTAAGCATACATTAGCCAATACAAAGTTTGCTCTGGAGAGATGTTTCCAAACAGCAGTATAAAACTCTCCCATGCAAGTCAAGCCAGGTTGCTCGGCGCTTTCTGCAAACATGATTTCAAGTAGCTGTTCACTGTTTTCGCCATCTGAATCAGAAATCTCTTGGTCTTCTGCTGTTTTAAAACTATCCAAGGCTGAAGACCCATCGAAATTCATCTTCACTGATATGGCAAGTGGTGTCCGGCAGAGTAACTTGCCTTCACCTCGTTCTGGTCTCTGGATTTGTTGAAACGGCCTAGAATGTTCCGTCGTAACAGTGCCTGCGATGGTGCAGCCGGTGGTGCTAAGTGATCAGAGACGCGCAGTGTAATGTAAAGCAAGGCCTGCCTGAATGGCCCTGCTCAACGTTCTGTGTTAATGGGTGTGCCGTCTCCCATCTCCAGCTGGCCAAGAATGTGGGGAACACCGGCTTCAATGAAATTGTGGAAGCCAACCTCATCAGCCCTTCCCTGAAGCCCTCCGCAGAGAGCGATATGTGAGTACCCAGAATGCCCAAAATGCTCCAGAACATTCTTGGTTATTCTCCAGAATATTCTATTTTTTAACCAGGCAGCCTCTGTTTCTACTCCAATATAACAAATATTCAAGTACAGCAATTTGATAATATTCCTAAGCATTCTTGCTGCTACCTGGTGGAAATGTGCCTCTTAAGGCAAGAACAAGGAACACATTTATCGGTTGTTCATATTGTAGCACTTGGGGCTAATAAACCAGAGGTGGTCAATGACCTAATTTCCTTTATGTGCTGCGAATTTATGAACGTTTCATGATCCCCCATTAATACCAGTATTAATAAAATCTGTCCTCTCTCTTTCTCAGTCATGTTTCTCCGAGACTGCTGTCACTGCTTTATGCAAAATCTTTACAGAAATTAAATGCTCTTGCCTTCCTTGCATTTTGGTGCAATTGTTTTAAATTTTATTTTGTTTTCAGTTTTTATAGAGAAATGTTAATAGTTTGAAATCTCACGAAAGCAGGGAATTAGAGGTTAGAATGTGCTCAAATTGACTCCATGACCAGCTCAGGGCTCACTCTGGGACTCTGAAAATGAACCTCGTTAGTATTCATGGTTTTACCTGAACACCGCTGTGACGGCCAGTCTCAGTGAAATTTTGACCGAATTCATATTTGTTCAGCCCAGCGATGGAGCAGTCACTGTTTAAACACTCAGGTCCGTCATTTCTTTTATGCTGGATTTCGATAAGTAATATTTAAATTTGCCATCTCCTGACATGTACCCTGGAAATAGAGAGCAAAGATTGACAATAACCACATTATTGCTGTAACAGATCTCAGTTTGTTGTGGTTGTGTGTATAGTTTGATTAAAACTGTTTGGAAGAGGCTTACATGTAAACTCGGCCAATATGGCAGTCTACACTGTGCACTTGCCTTTTGACAAATACAGCAAGCTGGCGCATTACAGATCATTGGTCCATAATAAATGATGTAACGTTGTGTGTGAAATCCTTTTCTAGACCCCAGGATACACACTCTGTATCAACAGTCCAGGGTTGAGTTTCAATTTTCTTTTCACCAAAGGGAGTTTGACTAAAACGTTTTGCAAGCGATATGCAAATAAAGTCATCAAGCGGTTTAAAGTATAAAGAGGCTCTGGCTTGCGTCCAGGTTATTTTCTATAATCCCGCTCTCCCGGCTCCGCAGTGCCACTCACTCTTTCCTTCAGGAGGTTTCACGGCTAACTCCTTGTGAGAGAGGTGGAGTAAGCTGGCAGCTGGTGGGCCATTTGCCTAATGCAATCTCCGAAGCCTCTAGATAACACACGCATCTCCTGGTGGACTCTAGATAACCGCGGTAACATACATACACATACACATGTGCCACAACACACTGCACATGCACATACAAACAAACCACACATGCATGCACACATACGCACCCACATACACCCCACACACGCACACCTATATTCATCCCACACATACATACACCTATATACACCCCACACACACATACACGCGTACACACATGTGTGTGCAGTCACATACGCATACACAAGCACTCACAGATGGACACACACTCATTCCCTAGAAGATGAGTGGGAAGTGAGACCCACAAACTGTAATACTTACCATCCACCCTCTTATGCTGATACTACAAAAAAAACCTCATCTCTACGCTATGACTGCTGTGAGAATTAGTGATACACCTTTGAAACAAGCGTAAAGAAAAAGTTTACAAAGCAGTACTGGAATGAAAAAAAGAATCAGTCCAATAGTATATAGTTGCAATGTATGTGTGTGTTAGAGAGTGTGTGTGTGTGTGTGTGTGTATACAGTGCACTCATATGTAAACAGAACAAACATACAATGCCGATATTGTGCTTCAATGCAATATTGAAGCTCGCCGCCAGCTTGTGTAGCTGATTTTACACCAGCCATCGCCCTAAACGCCCTGGCTCCATTTTGACTCTTCATCACCACCCGCCATTCCCATACAGCCCTGCTGAAACGGCTACTATCGATTTATTTTATCTCTGCTCTCCGAAAGTCTATTGTAAAATGAAAAGCTGCTGTGGTCGCAGAATGGTCCCTCTGAGAGCAGATCCAGGTTTGAAGGTCACTGGGGAAGAGAATTTCATAGAAGGGGGCAGTGGACACAGGACCCACCTTGTCAGTCCTGACATTCATAATGGACAATGGAAGCCTGTCTCATCCCTCCAACATCAGATATTTACTATCATCCCTCAGGCTCTGCTTATTGTGTCCATCATATAACATCTCAAACATATACTTTTAGGTTTTTAGCAGATGCTTTTACCTAGAACAGCTGTATATTTACTGAACAATTTAGAATAAGTACCTTGTCCAATGGTATGGCAGCATTCCCCTACCTGGGAATCAAACCCACCACCTCTGAGTTTGAAGCCCAGCTCCCTAACCATTATGCTACACTCGGTCCCAGTATTCATACATAGAGATGCACACTTTAGTATTAGCTATGATAATGATAGTGCAGGGTACAGGTGATTGATTTTGTGCTGTAGTTATGACAGGTTGGTGTAGCAGTCAGCTGTGAAGGCTGCGTATCAGTGCTGTGTCCTGGCTGCGGGGGACCTCTCTCTGATTTCAGCTCACATCCCCACCTCTGGATTCCATTACCCTCCTGTGTTTAACAATCTTCCTGCTCCTTTGCTCAGGGAATAGACTCAATTTTCTTATTACCCTTTTCCTATATTGAATTGAGCGTTTCTGTTTTTCCAGTGGAGCCTCAGTCTAATGAGTATGTGCCTGCATTCCCCCGAGGACAGTTAGGATGGAAAAGTGGCCACTGATACTCTTAACCATGCAGAAATTAAGCCGTTCCCCCACCCCCTCCCTTCGCCCCTGCGGTCACACTGCGGAAGGCTGGACTGGACTCTCAGTTTGGACATTTTGTATGTGGATGTTTTAATGGAGGGCTCCAATCTGCATAGCAAGGGATCTTAGACACTTCGCACCAGATACATGCACTTTAATTACCTGCTGTAAAGTGTTTAACATTCACAGTGAGGTTGTAATGCTCTATATTCATATTGAGGTTATATATGTTGTGTAACTACAGAGAGGCTAATATGTTGATGTGTTTTGTATATTTTATATTGACAGTGAGGTTTTAATGTTTTAAATTCATTGTGAAATTGTGTGTTATTTTGTGGTGTTGGTTGATAGTGAGTATTAGTTGGTTTGAATGGTAGATGGCCTGTGTCGCCCCCTGCAGGTTAGTGCGGAAGGACTTCATCCTGTGTAAGTATGTGGAGGGCCAGTTTGTGCAGCGCAGCGGCGGTTCCCCGGGCAGTCTGCGGCGCTGTCTACAGCAGGCCGTCCAAGGCAGGGACATCTTCGGCCTGCTGCAGCTCTACGTGGAGAAGCTGGACCTCAGCCTGCCGCTGCTCAACCCTGTGCAGGTACACAGCCCTGCTGTCCCAGCACCTACCTGTGCAGGTAGCCACACCTTTCCTGCACCTACCTGTACAGCCACACAGCCGTGCTGTCCCAGCACCTACCTGTGCAGGTGCATAGCCACACCCTTCCTGCACCTACCTGTACAGGCACACAGCCCTGCTGTCCCAGCACCTACCTGTGCAGGTGCTTAGCCACACCATTCCTGCACCTACCTGTACAGGCACACAGCCCTGCTGTCCCAGCACCTACCTGTGCATGTGCATAGCCACACAGCCATGCTGTCCCAGCACCTACCTGTGCATGTGCATAGCCACACAGCCATGCTGTCCCAGCACCTACCTGTGCAGGTGCATAGCCACACCCTTCCTGCACCTACCTGTACAGGCACACAGCCTGTCCCAGGTGCAGGTGTCCCAGCATCTACCTGTACAGGTGCAGGTCCCAGCACCTACCTGTACAGGTGCATAGCCACACCCTTCCTGCACCTACCTGTACAGGCACACAGCCGTGCTGTCCCAGCACCTACCTGTACAGGCACACAGCCATGCTGTGCCAACACTTACCTGTGCAGGTGCACCTGTCTAGCCCACAGTCTGACTTCTCCACTCTGCAGGACTCTGTTTCTTTCTCCTTGTGTGAAAATCAAAGAAAAACTGTTCTAGTTGTCTGTATAAAAATGTTGTGTGAAATGGTTCTTCTTTTCTGAGAGTGCCATTATTTGCTTTGATGAACCGTTTCTGCAGGAACAAGGAGAGACTGCACTGCACCTGGCTGTCCTATTGGCTGATAGGACCTCCCTGCACATGGTGGACTTCTTGGTTTCCAACAGGTGAGGGACGAAGGGGACAAAGCTGGGCGTGGTTTCAGGAAAAGAGCAATGGGACATACATTGTAAAAAAAAAAAAAAAAATACATTAGTTCTGCTCACCTCCATTTCTGTAATTACAGAATTAAATGAATTCTGCAGACTGACTTGAACAGCATTATGGCCAGTTTTCAATTCATGGATTGATTTTCAGATCATATCATGAATTGATTGATTTTAAATGGAGTTGACCCCAAACCCTAATATATACAACTTTGCAAGAGAATGTAAGGATCAGTGCTGAGCACAGCTATCAATGTTAAGGCGGAAATCCAGTGCAGATATTATGTTGTGATGTATCACTATTCATGCAGCACAGCCTAGTGGCTGTTTTGCTTGACTGGGACCAGGAAGGTTGGTGATTCACATCCCATTGAAGGCACAGAAAAATCAGTGCAGCTGTTGGGCCCTTGAGCAGGGCCCTTAACCCCACATTGCTCCCTGGGGGATTGGCCCCTGGTTATTATAATCAACTGTCAGTGTCTTTGGATAAAAGAGTCAGCTAAATAACTATAATGTAATAGAACACATTCATATATCATAGTTCCTTTGCTAAGCAACAGCAGACTGGTGGTGTTCGAAAACAAACAAACCGCCTTCTAACATCAACAAACGTGGGAGTGCATGAGACAGGAAATTGAAATGTTAGACAGGAAGTGTAAGGCCTGTACGGTCTGCAGTTTAGACAGCTGGCTCAGCTCAAGGGGAGACATGTTTATGAGAAACAAACCGACTAGCCCGGGACTGTTCGGTGTTAACTGCTGACTGGGGATTTCAGCCGAACGTGATGTTTGTCATGGTAAGTGGGCGGAGAGGCGGAGGACATCGTGGAGAGAGGAGCAGAACTGCCCTCAAATGCGCTGTTTATAAACCCTCTCGGGTCTCTTTCACAGCTTCGCTCCTGTGACATTCGTAACAAAGTTCGTCTCTTTCTTAAGGAACTGCACTGCGGCCTTCTGTGACTTCCTGTTTTACCAGGGTATTAAAATGAGGTGAAATCATTTTGTCGTCCATCAACAAACATAAATCCTGACAAAAATAACCGTTTTGTTTCTGTTGTGTGTTTCACCATAGCAACCACCTGGATGCACAGACCGTTCGGGGGAACACCGCTTTGCACTACTGCTGCCTCCACAACAAAACAGAGTGCCTTAAACTGCTGCTGCGAGCCAAGGCCAACACACACATCAGTGAGTGACCGATATAAACACACCCCTCAAGCCCAGGATTAGCCTTCCCATGATGCCGCTGTGCATATGGCCTTATGCTGAACAAAATATCAGCGTGCTTCTCACAGTGTCACTGACCCTACTGTTATGGTCAAAATTGCTCCATTTCACAATTTTGCATCACTGGCCAATGTCATTTTTCTTCCATTAACATAAAAGTTGAGCTTGAAACTCAGTGTAATGGACATGAACACATTTTTAGTTTTTACAAAATCAGTGCACCAGCAAGGCACAAAGATGCCTTTCAGATCAAAATTTAGCTGGGGGGGTCATTGTGGTGGCTGAGAATGAGTGCTGGAGGCCAGAACAGAGTAAAAAAAAAAAAAAAAAAAAAAGGTTGAAAGTAAGTTTTACAGTTTGGAAGGGTAAAATTTGATTTATAACTGCTTTGAGGAGATTACTGAATTTGACCCAACTCCAAACATAATGGGAGGGTTAATGGCCTGTGTGTCTGATTATACTGCTGCCTTATTACTGCATAGTGTCCATTTATACTGCTGGATCACTACTGAAACTGGTAAGGTACCTTGTTCAATGGCTCAAAGTCATTGTTAGACTCAGAAGGGCTAAAACTACATCAAACAAAGTAAGTCTCTTAAGGACATATGCAGTTCAATTAATACAGACTTTAGTCTTTTTAAGGGTATACGCTTCTCTTGTTTATGGTATTTTGTTTAGAGCACCCTCAAAGGGTATTTTTGCTTGTTTCCAACAAAATTGAGAATACTTCCACAAGAGACCATGTTGTAATGTCAAGTTTGATTTGATTGGACTACATATGATCTTAAAAGAGAGGTATGTTAGATTGTATCCCAGCCTTGGTCATCTGTTGTTCTGGTCTCTTAACCACAGTCACGTTACGTTACTGTCTACTGTGAACAAAACCTTAAAAAATAAAATTTTCATAGACCCAGTATTGTAGATGATTAATTGCTAAGTTGTACATGCATTCTGGGTGTTGTAGTCTTTCGTGTCTCTGCGATATGCTGAGACCGCATGCACAGGATTACGCCTGAGGAGCAGCAGATTAATTTGGGCCTGCCCGACTCTACGCCCCTGCTGTGTCCGCTGATGACTGGCGGCTGACGTGCTCACCCCGCTGTTTGTTCTAATCTGTGGCGCAGAGCGAGAGTCCGTTATTAGGGTCTGCGGCGAGGCTTCCTCCTCTGAGCATGCTCAGGGTGCGAGGGGCGCGACAGAGTGGCCAGGGAGCTTACAGGGACCCCAATGTTCTGGGACAGTTTGAGTGACTCAGCAGAAGAATGCCATGCATTCCTCTGTTCACCCTGTGTCTTCTGAGAAAACAATTGTGTCAGAGGACACATAAATTATCCCTGTGAGACACACACACACATGCACACACACTCACACACACAGACCACGGCAGTGTGAATTCCCAGCACCACAAAGTCACATTGCCTACTGATCTATGACCGTACCTTGTTGCGTTTCTTGCATATTTCATTCCCCAAGAGACCCATTCAGTGAATTTCACTCAGAATCACATACTGCATCTTCCACAGTGGGGTCCTGTTAGCATCCGTAAAGCCGCTGTAGTAAATTACGCCGTGAAAGATTTACTGACGCTGTACTCCGGCTCTAAAGTGGGAAGCGTGCTGATCATGGGCGATGTGTGTGTTTTCCAGAGAACGAGGCGGGGGAGACCAGCCTGGATGTCGCTCGGAGATTAAAGCACACACACTGTGAGGAGCTGGTAAGCTTCGTCTCCTCAACTTTCCTCCGCGGCTCGTAGTTATTACATATTTTACATCACCACCAGGTGTCAGATGACATTCCGTTAATAAACGGCCCTGATCCGTTCCCGTTGCGTATTGTAATTGTCGCTCTCTGAGTGACTCTATCAGCATCGGAGGAGGACAGCAGGGATCTCATCTCCTGAAAAAGATTTAGAATATTAGA